ATGGAGATCCGTACTGTAGGCTGGCCACTGCTGGCTCATGCTTTGGAATGCGACCAAGCAGGCATGGAAAAGGATCTGGATCCCACAGAAGGTACTGTTTGGAACTGCCTTTAAAATTCTTCTCGAATCGTTGATAGTAAATGCACGTGAGTGTGCAAAAGTAGTAGAACACCTGGAGACTGGTAGCACTTCAAACATCCTTGGAATGAGCGAGAAGTTTTCCGATATATTTCGCAACCACTCTTGTGCCGAGCCCAGCACGTTGAAATGAATCTCGGCCCTTCTTCAAAAGACCACCACGAAACATTCCGAAAATGAAGTCCAAAGATTTGTTAGTGACAGATATTCACTTCTGCAAGCACCTTCTGTTGATCCTCATGAGAAATTGTTCATTTTCTCAGGGTGAGCTTATAATTATGAAACGGTGCAAAAACCAATAAACTCTTATAACAAAGGTTCAAAAAGCTGCTGCCAAAAATCGGATCCGAGGCTTATTTGTGCTAACAATAAGGAATCCGTTGATGATGCTAGGAAAATTCCTAAATGGCTGCTTTTCCTGGAAATGCAAAGGTTTGAGGGTGAGCTTATAATTATGAAACGCACTGTACGGTATTAATATAGGAAAATACGTGATGATGACGTTGGTTATTTTCTCGTCGAAAAGATTAGGCTGCGGTCTATGAAACTATCTTTTGTCTAGAGTGTCGTCTATTTGTTCTTTCAAGGGATTTTTTCTGTTATAGCGTCAACTGATTTTTTCGTCGCTCACGCGTCACGGTCTGCAGTATCTCTCGTGCTCCATGATGCGTTCGTATGTGATAGTGCTTCTCTTTACAGTTATAAGGCTAACTTGCGAATAAAGAGACATATTGGTGATTCGAGAGAAGTTTAGTTTTATGTATTGCACAACAAAGTTAACCTCCTGATTCCATTAATCACGGTGTCCGGTGAAGTTGTTTTGATTGTTTTATCAAGTTACTTTCTATTTCGAAGTCATTCATTACGTCTTTTATGTGTTGATACGTCAAGAAGTTGGACACTGCGTATTATTTTTAGACTGTAAACAAATGCTAGTAGGGTATAACGAAGAATTAGAACTTCCTTTCAGAGTTTCTACTTTGTTTGTGTTCACCTAGACGTTTGATTAATTGGTAGGATACCGTTTTATCTCTTATGTCATGGTTGGATTTTTCGGTAGTTTTATTTTCCATACATTATCATTTCGTGTACATGTTAACCTTGTCACATCATTTGTAAGTATCCTTTTGTACCCTAACACTGAAAAAGCGTTTTTTTTCTAATCTATCAATTTTCGTTTGCAGTGATATTTCCCATTTTTCTTGTACTATTTCGTTCTTGTATATTTCTTCTGTTTCGTATTTGGATAATGGAACTCTACTTTTTTGAATCATTACTATTTTGAGTTTGACTGGCTGCTGTATCTGCGCCCAGTGATTCATGAGTGCTGTTTTCATTTGATGATGCCAAAAATAATATTTTTTCTATCACTAATGTTTGTTGTGTTTGTTTTCGTGTTGTGGTGTTCTATGCTCAATGAAGGCCTCTTCATATCAGCGCCGTGGATAACCTTGGGAGGTCCACATCGTGAAGTAGGCGTCTTTCGCTCGAGGTTGCTGTTGAGGTTACCAGTCGTTTGACAGACTTAGCGAGCAAGTCGAGTTTCTAGTATTTTTAGTAGGATAGAAAAATGAAGGATAAAGCATTTGCCGTTGATCAATCCCTTTTTGGGATGCGGCACGCATTCTACTTCCATTTGTACATTCGTAGTGGCGATGTGGCCTATACAATGACTTGCGGGGGCCAGCCGATGTACAAGTCAGTGTTTTTATCCTCCCAGACAAGTCTGGTACCAATTAACCGACCCCGGAGGGATGGAAGGCTTGGTTGGCCCGGGCGACTCACGACCCAGGATTTGATCCCCGGACCGCTCGCGTGGTAAGCGTGCCACTTGCCACTACACCACTTCCGCCCTCATTTTTTATTTAAAATTTGTTTTAGAATTTTTAGTAGACGAAGTTCAACTATGAGGGGAGGGAAGTCAGAAATCTTATTTTGTGGAGTTTGAGTGAGTCGTGGTTCTGGGAGAAGGGGAGTTGCTGACCTTTTACTCTAAAAATTTCTCGAAAACTTCGCTAAAGGCGTAAAATAGACATCTCGAATATTTGCCGTTTCTTCAGACATGGTTTTCCATCCGCAGCCCACCCGTCCGCGGTTGCTGTTTTGGAAGGACAACATAAGCGGAGTTGGAGTGTATCGACTGGTCTAAAATCACACGTAATAACTATAGAAGCAGCCGTAGTGATGTGGGCAGTGAGGGCAAGGGTCGTGTGAGGAAACCTCGAAGGCCGATAGTGATAGCGATGGAGAGTGGTCGTATTGAGCCCTTCGCAAGAAAAAAATTGAAATCGGTTAAACGCGAGTGCAGTGGAAGGTAATAAAAACTTGTCCTAGTCTTCCATTTATATCCGTGTTGAGTAACGATAACTTGTGGGTATAAATTGAAATCACTGAACTGAAACCATTGTGTTCAGGTAGCCGTCCTTTGAATTAAGTACTTGCCTACACAATATCAGCTGAAAGAATAAGGTGACACGCAACACTTTTATTGGGGTTTAACCCCATTGAACACAATTCTAGTGCAGGAAAGCAAATTGTTTCTGGCGAGCCACTACTGAACAGGTCTCGCCATCAGTCAAGGTTGTGCCGTCATCTCACCCACCTACTGCCCTCCTCTCTGCCCTCATGGCTCCAGAAAAGAAACTCCTCTGGTGCCGCGCCCATGGCTTCAATCTTCATACACTGCGTCCCATAATTATACGTCCACCTAAGAATTTCCCAAAATCTCACAAATATAGATGTTTCGAAAAAAGTCTCCAATGTGACAATGTATCGCATATAAATACGCAATTGCCTATGAACATCAATTTTCTATTTGAGATCACAGGAATTTTTTCCAATAATTTTTGTGTAAAAGGCCACTCAGCCGACGTCCCAAAATTATACGTCCACCTCACGTTTATCGATTACTTTTCACTTCTGTTCCACGAAACTTTTTCATTGTGGTAACACTTCACTTCTTAAGGGAACAGCATAATAAAGACTGCTGTTGGATTTTGAGAAAGGGAAAATGTCGCAAAAACTGTTGAACAACGCAATCGCACCAGATTTGGTCCAGATTCACGCCAAGCTTGAGAATTTTTCAGGGTTTCACATGATATGGAGTTTAGAAGAGCTCTAAAAGTCTCTCATTACTTTTCGATGGAAACAAAGGCCGTGTTACAGAAAAACATCCACTTTCATCCAACGGTGCTCTGTCGTCGAATCTTCTTGAGAACTTTATGCCTCAACGGACTTTTGTTTCATGCTTGTAAAGAATCCCAAGATCATTCTTGATTGGGAAATGAGAAAGACGGTCATTCATGGCAAGCAATCGTGGCGAAAACTGGGCTGATTTTTGCATGAAGGTGCAGCCGAGCCGACTGAAGTAAGGTTCGCTTCTGCCCGATATGTTTGGCATTTGTTTGTTTCTCTTTTCACGTTTACCTTTCCCTTAATGGCTTTTTCTTAGTGAAGCACTACTAAAAGAAAGAATAATGTGAGAAGAAAGTTAGACAAACACCCATGCATAGCAAGGAGGAAGGGACCCGTTGTTCAACAGTTTCTGCAACATTTTTCCCTTTCTCAAAATCCAACAGCAGTCTTTATTATACTGTTTCCTTAAGAAGAGAAGTGTCACCACAGTGAAAAGGTTTCGTTGTGGTAACACTTCACTTCCTAGAATTGAGAAGTAATTGATAAACGTGAGGTGGACGTATAATTTTGGGACGTTGGCTGAGTGGCCTTTTAAGGCAGGGATAGCCGAGTGGTTAAGAGACCGGGGGAAAAACACGGGGCTGGGAACCCCAGTTATACGAAGAGGTTAGACTCATGTCTGCACACTCTGAAAAACCGCGAGTTCGATCCCTGCCGAGGCTCTAAACCATGCCTTGCAAAAATTGCAAAAATGGTTCTAGTACCAGCGTCAGGCCCAGGTTGACAGGCCGGCTGATGAAGACCCCCGTCACAACAAATATGTCTAAAGTCGAAAAAGGAATCAGTGATAAAGCTAGGACGTCACCCGGAAGTGGCGCGCAGAACCCCCGCCCGAGTTCTGTGGTCAGTATGCGAGGGCTACCGAGGAGGGAACGGCCTCGGCCAAAGAAGCTAGTTCGAATTGGAACTGTGAACGTAGGGTCGCTAACTGGAAGGTCCCGAGAGGTTGCTGATCTGATGACGCGCAGAAAAATTCAAGTCCTATGCCTTCAGGAGACACGATGGAAAGGGGCCAAGGCCAGGGAAATCGGAGAAGGTGTCAAACTCTACTACAATGGGGAAGACACCAAGCGGAATGGTGTGGCCATAGCGGTAGCGGAGTCGCTCAAGGACTATGTCTCCGCTGTGAACAGGATCAGCGATCGGATCATGGCTGTGAGGATAGACACGAAGGAGGGGTACTGGTCAATACTCTCCGTGTACGCACCGCAAGCCGGGTGCCCCGAAAGTGATAAGGACGAGTTCTATCTAAGCCTGGACGAAGCCATAAGATCGGTTCCGGAAGGCGATTACCTGACCATAGCAGGTGATCTGAATGGCCACGTCGGCAGTGACAGAAGAGGCTTAGAAAGGGTGCACGGAGGTAGAGGGATAGGAATAACGAGGAACGGCTGAAGGAGAGAGGATTCTGGAACCTGGCTACAGCCACGATCTGGCAATCTGCAGCACATTCCTTCGCGAAAAAGGAAGACTCAGAAGGTAACCTACAGCAGCGGAGGGAGACAGACGGAAATCGACCATGTGCTGGTAAGAAGATCAACCCTCAAAACTGTGAAGGATATCAAAGTTCTACCCGGCGAAGACCTGGCTCCCCAGCACAGGCCCCTCCTGGCAGACATTGCGATAGACCTCCCCAAGAAGACAAGGGTAAGAACCGAGAAGAGGAATCCGGTGGTGGAAGCTGCACCAAGCGGAAAAGGGGTGACTCAGAGCGAAAAGATGAATGGAAATCGTACTCCTCAGATCCAAAAGGGGTTAAAATAGCAGCACTTGGGGAGCGGCGGGACTGATACCAATCTCATGCGATGTGCAAGGCAGGTCCTGGGCGAGGGGGGAAAACGCCCCGGCCAGGAGGTGGACTCAGGAGGAGCAAGCAGCGGTAGGTTTGGACGAGGTGGTCCAGCGTGAAGCATACGAGCGCTGGCAGAAGACCCGGAGCCCCGAAGACCTCGCCACCTACAGGAGTTGCAAGAGGCTCGCTAAGGCTGCTGTCGCCAAGGCGAAGAACACGGAAATGGACGCCTTGTACGAGAAGTTGGAAAGCAGAAACGCAGAGAAGTTCGTCTTCAGGCTGGCTAAGGCCCGCCATCGTGCTACTCAAGACATCAGGGTGGTGAAAAGTGTAAAAGGCAGCGATGGTGTCATCCTAAGAAAGCCAGCCGAAGTCAAGAGGAGGTGGGAAGAGTACTTCACGGGGCTTCTGAACGAGGAGTTTCCCACACAAGAACGACTCACGGGCAGAGGCCACAGCTGGTCCCATCGCACTCTGGACTAAGGATGAGGTTAGGTGTGCACTTGGGAGGATGAAGGTTGGAAAGGCGGTTGGCCCAGATGGGGTGCCAATCGAGGCATGGAAGGCGCTCGGAGAGTACGGCATAAGGTGGCTCACCAGCTTCCTGAACAAGGTAACAGTGGAAGGAAAGATGCCGGATGCATGGAGGACAAGTCCACCATCGTCCCTATCTTCAAACAGAAGGGCGACGCGATGGACTACTAACTACCGCGGGATTAAGTTGACTGCGCATGCCATGAAGACTGTACGAGCGGCTGGTCGATAAGAAGCTGCGGGAGCTGGTCCCGATCTCCCAGGAACAGTTCGGGTTCATGCCGGAAAGATCTACAACGGATGCCATCTTCATCGCAAGGCAAGTGATGGAGAAGTATCGAGAAAAGCGCCGACCCTGCTTACCTAGCCTTCCTCGACCTGGAGAAGGCGTTCGACCGGCTACCGCGAGCAGTGCTGTGGAGGTCGCTCAGGGAACGAAACGTGCCAGAACACCTGATCTCTCTGGTGAAGGACATGTACGAAGGAGCCAAAGCAGCCATACGCACCCCTCACGGACTAACAAAGGAGATAAACATCACGGTTGGGGTGCATCAAGGGTCAGCTCTGAGCCCCTTCCTGTTCCTCCTAACGCTCGATACCATGGTGAAGGGCCTCATGGAAGGACCACTGAAGACCATCCTCTACGCTGACGACATCGCCCTGATAGCGGATAGTAGAGAGGAGCTACAGGCCAAGGTGCAGCAATGGCAGAAGGTCCTGGCAGAAGGCGGGCTACGGCTGAATGTCAAGAAGACCAAGTTCCTGAGCTCCGAAGAGGGTGCAGAGCCGATCGTAGACGGCCATGGTGAGACCATCGAAAGAGTGGAGGACTTCCGCTACCTTGGGAGCGATCTGGCAGCTGATGGCAGTGTGGATCAGGCGGTGAAGGCTCGGGTCAACACAGCATGGATGAAATGGAGGGAGTCCACTGGAATCCTCTGTGATCGAAGATGCTCCAGAACGCTCAAAGGGAAGGTGTACCGAACAGTACAGGGTCAGAGCTGAGGACTGTACGGCAGCGAGTGCTGGCCCCTGAGCAAGAACCACGAAAGGCAGCTCCACTCCGCTGAGATGAGGATGCTGAGGTGGGCCTGCGGCTGGACGCGGCTGGACAGAGTTAGAAACGAAGATGTTAGAGCGGTCATGCAGACTGCCCCTGTCCAGCTGAAGGTACGGGAACAGCGTCTGCGATGGTATGGGCATGTGCTAAGGAGGCCACAGGATCATCCGATAAGAACAGCGATGGACTTCGAAGTACAAGGCAAGCGACCGCGAGGAGCCCCAAAGAAGAGGTGGAGAGACGTGATCAAGAAGGATCTAAGTGAAGTCATGGCCACAGCAGAGGACGCCCTGGACAGACTAAAGTGGCGACGACTGACAAAGACAGCGGACCCTGCGACTGCGCGGGACTAACGCTAGGGAGAAGAAAGAAGAAGGCTGAGTGGCCTTTTACACAAAAATTATTGAAAAAAATTCCTGTGATCTCAGATAGAAAAATGATGTTCATTGGTGATCCCGCATTTATATATGACACATTGCTACATTGAAGACTTTTTTCAAAACATCTATATCTGTGAGATTTTGGGAAATTCTTAGGTGGACGTATAATTATGGGACGCAGTGTTTAACGATGGGACGATTCTTCGAGAGGTTTGATCGTGTATTTGGCATCATGCATTATGTAGAATGCAGGAAACACAGAATGCAATTCAGAAGAACTTTTTGCTTCGGATTCCAGAGATAGGCAGGAGAAGTCGTTCTAAGCGAATCACGGTTAGATTACACAGGGGAGGTGGCAAAAGCGTCATCTCCTAATCAGACAGAATTAATTACACTTTGCCAAAACCAAACCGAATAAGCTTTGCATATTGAAGAGCACATTCTACTCCATCAAAAAACTAACATAAGGGCTTTCTACACCGACGACATCAAATTTCCCACGGAAACATGGTTCGCGGTACGAGCTCAACGATGTCGTCGAGAAACCATAGACGATTACGACGTCTCTGAAACGCTGGTCAAAGCCATGTTGCATAGTCAGAGCTAGTGTCCCTAAGAAGCCATTCACCAGTTATCCGATTGAAGAAATTATGTAGCAGCTTCAGAATGGAGCGATTATGGTAGGCCTCCTTGAGCTCGACGGTGATGACAGATGACGTCATATTCTGGAGACGGTGAAGGCAGCGAAGGTGGGCCTGATTCTGCTTATGGGGGGACATCTAAGGAATAATTCGCCGTATAACTCCCAATAACAGCGGCATCCTTTGCGACGAAAAGTTTGATGATATGCGCCATGGGCAAAGTGACTCTTTTTTTAGCCCCCTGTACATACAGTACTATAGTTAAATCTGAAGCTGGTGCTAAAGTTGTTGATGCAAAGGTTTGGAGGACAACATGAGACACTTAGTAGATACAGAACACTTTTCACACCGAGTAATCTTTCTAGTCAAGCGGGGAGCTTTGATACTTTAACGTTAATGCAATCGAAGCTTCATGCATGATTTTATGTATTTTAGCGAGAGCACGATGCAATAGTTTGCTTCAGTTCGTGGTTCTCTGCAGCTCAGGTCGATATGCATGCTTCTCGTCGTCAATTTACCTCAGCCCTGGCGGTGATGAAACCACAGCTGTAAGACTGGCGACGGTTAGGATTCAACGTGCTCAGACAAATATTTTCTTCTGAGAAGTCCTCGTTCCTTGAATTTAGTATACCCTGCTGTGCACCAGAAAACGTCCTTTTGATTGAGAACTCACGTATAAAACCTAAGACATTGTGCAAAGGCCTTTGCTTCTATCTCACCATCAGTTCCTTCACTGGGTAAATTAGAAGCTTTTGGTATCAGAGGTCAGCATTTTCTGTTCCTGCAATACTTCTTGAGTAAAAGGATCTAGGTTCCGCCCATAATCCACTCACGTTCCCTACCTCAAGCCCAGTGGTCCCTCAAGGTAGGTGCATAGCAGCTGCTGCTCATGCTCACTCTTTATGTGACTGACTTGATTGGTTGCATTCCCTGTTTGCAGTTTATGCGACAACAATTCTGAAATCTGACTATTAACGACTGCCACAAGCTCAAGACTGCTCTAGAATGCGTCGGGATTTGGTCAAGAAGTGCAATTTGAATTTAACCTCCAAAAAACAAAAATTATGGGACTAGAGAGAAATCACCCTAGCTTCACTTTCTCGACAGGTACCGTACCACTTGTCAAGTAGACCAGGTTCTGGTAGACATGACTTTGATATTTATACTATACACGAAAAAGTCGCTAGTGCAACAGCAGGAGCTAATTTTATATCAAGGGTTTTCAAATTGCGTGATCCGAGAATACTATATTGGCTTTTCATTCTCATACTCGCCCAATCGGTTTGCCGACGTGGTTACCATACAAGAAGTGATAAAAAGACCAGAAAAAAGCCAATAAAGAATATTTCCAAGAGATCTGTAACGTAGAGTTTCCGCATCCACCGCCTCCAAAAGAGCCGCAGATCCACGGACCCATCCCACGAATAAGTGAGAATGAAGTCAAAGAAGCCGTCAAAAAGATGAAGAACATGAAAGCCACTGGGCCAGACGACATTCCTGTAGAGGTCTGGAGACAATTTGGAGGCTATTCCTTTTTGACGGAACTCTTCAACAACTGTATAGAAAAAGGAGTAATTCCGAAAGATTGGTCAAAAAGCATCACAGTGCCCATTTATAAGAAGAAAGGAGACATTGCTAATTGCTCCAGTTACCGTCCTATTCGTCTAATGTGTCACACTTTGAAGATCTTCGAACGAATTCTAGACACCAGACTAAGGGAGATAGTCAACATAAGTCGGATGCAGTGTGGATTTTCGACCTGAGCACAGCACCACCGATGCCATTCATGTTGCCCGACGGATGATGGAGAAAGCAAAGGAATGGAATAAGCCGCTCCACATGGCCTTTTTAGACCTGGAGAAGGCCTTCGACAGAGTGCCACGACAACTCATTTGGGAAGCCCTCAGATATCAACAAGTACCTGAAGCACTTGTCAAAGCTGTACAGCTGACCTACCTCAACTCCACCACTGCCGTCCGCACACCAGTAGGAGACACCCCACAGTTTCCGGTAACCGTTGGAGTCCATCAAGGATCAGCCCTTTCACCACTACTTTTCATCCTTTGCATGGACTACGCCACGAGAAACATCCGGAAGGAGCCGCCTCTGACACTGGGCTACGCTGACGATGTGCTGCTTATGGATCGATCAAAGAGAAAGTTAGAAAAACGTGTCAACCGCTGGAAGAAACAACTCGATGATCACGGACTCAAGCTCAACATTAACAAGACGGAATGAGCACGGTGGTCAGAGAAAGCACGGTGTCAACCGCTGGAAGAAACAACTCGATGATCACGGACTCAAGCTCAACATTAACAAGACGGAATACATGAGCACGGTGGTCACAGAATCGTCAATTGTTGTAGCTGGAACTCCCCTACCAAAGACGGCTAAATTCTCATACCTCGGATCCATGCTCTCTGCGGACACTGACACGAAAGCCAATAAAGGCAATTAAAAAAGATGAAGTCGAGAAAGATTAACTTATGCTGTTGCAATCGCGGAAGGATATCTGTGCATTAAGTGCGACATTTGCTGCGATTACCGGCCACACGCCGCTAGGCGCCACACAAAACTAGTCACCACGGAGGATCGAACCATCAACAGTACGTTATTCTTATTTTTTTGGCACCGCTAAAGTCGTTCAGCGAAAATGATACATGGTTTTGTGTTCCCTACATGCGTCACTACAATATGCAAGAAACCTTGGAAAAGCGTGGCTTGCTCTGAAAGACCTCCCTTGTAAGTGCCGAACATTGGGAACAAAATTCACACCTATCTATTCCTGAACTGTTTTATGAGTAGTACGCAATGGAGATTGAAAGGGGAGGTCCTCACTCTGTACTGCTTTTTTTCTTTGGCTACTTTAAAAAATATACGAACTTCGCTGAAGCCTGTACGGGTTTTCTTTGCTATACGGTTCATTAGTAGTTCTAATTTATGCTGTACAGTCACTTTGGCGCAGGAGCCACTAATTGCCAGGCAAACGCAACAACTCCAATGAAATTCCTCTGGGGATTATTCAGGGACTGATTATGTCTACCCCATTCGTTCCTGATGTGACGTCACTGGCAGCGTGACCTATTGTTAGGACAAAATTCCACATTTAGGTTGGCGCCAAAAATCAGCTCCATGATCGTAATCAGAGCAATGTAAAAGTGTTTAGCTTTCAACGGATTTGGCTCAAAAAAATTCACGACGCCAGATGTAGAAAATAGCGAAAGCGCCAGAAATGAATGTGACCCTCGCGAACGGTGCGCTGACCAACTTCCTAATTGGAAAATCGGCAGAGTCAATCCTATCTCATGTCGACAAAGTTGGCTTAAAGGGTGATTGCCACAAAGACTTACTGCAGTACTATCTGGGCTTTCTGAAGACGGGGCGAACACTGCGGTCGACTTCGAGTTACCGTTCGTGTCAACTGGCCTGAAAATGGATTATTGGATTGATGGATCAAACGCAATTAAAGGAATCTTCCACGGAAAAAGCTCCGCCTCCATTACCACAGAAAAACGATACCTTAGGCCCCTAGCCTCATGAGCATAGCAAAAAGAACGGAACATAAGCGTTAGTTTCGATAATACTAATCCTACACACAAGAAAATGATCACTCTTTCCGTGGAAGATTCCTTTAAGGTATCGTTTTCTGTGGTAATGAGGGCGGAGCTTTTCCGTGGAAGATTCCTTTAAGGACCAAACCGATTCCGAAGTGGTTAAGACCGTAAAGAAATAAAAATGTACAATCAGTTATGGAGCAAGATACTTCAAAAACCCACACTTCACTATCGCTACTTCTCGTACTACTTGAACACGTCGAATCATTCGAGATCGTGCTCGTCCAGCTCTTCGGTCGTTGTCGAACTAGTTGGTCTTCTCGAGGTGCGACTCGTGAAAGGCGTTGAATCCATCGCTGACGTTGTTCAGCAGTCCAACGTTTCAATCGCGTACGCATCAGACTTCGCCTCGTCCCACAGTTCGAAACGTGAACCACCGGAACGGGACAACTCAGAGAAACCCAGGGATGACATCTGCAATAATGCTGCAGATGTCATCCCTGGGTTTCTCTGAGTTGTCCCGTTCCGGTGGTTCACGTTTCGAACTGTGGGACGAGGCGAAGTCTGATGCGTACGCGATTGAAACGTTGGATGCTGAACAACGTCAGCGATGGATTCAACGCCTTTCACGAGTCGCACTACGAGAAGACCAACTAGTCCGACAACGACCGAAGAGCTGGACGAGCACGATCTCGAATGATTCGACGTGTTCAAGTAGTACGAGAAGTAGCGATAGTGAAGTGTGGGTTTTTGAAGTATCTTGCTCCATAAACTGGTTGTACATTTTTATTTCTTCGGTATCTAACCACCTCGGCATCAGTTGTTGGTCCTTGAAAAGGAATCTTCCACGGGAAAAGCTCCGCCCTCATTACCACAGAAAACGATACCTTAAAGGAATCTTCCACGGAAAGAGTGATCATTTTGTCTTGTGTGTAGGATTAGTATTATCGAAACTAACGCTTATGTTCCGTTCTTTTTGCTATGCTCATGAGGCTAGGGGCCTAAGGTATCGTTTTTCTGTGGTAATGGAGGCGGAGCTTTTTCCGTGGAAGATTCCTTTAATGTTGATCCATCAATCCAATAATTCCATTTTCAGGCCAGTTGACACGAATGGTAACTCGAAGTCGACCGCAGTGTTCGCCCCGTCTTCAGAAAGCCCAGATAGTACTGCAGTAAGTCTTTGTGGGCAATCACCCTTTGAGCCCAACTTTGTCGACGTGAGATAGGATTGACTCTGCCGAGTTTTCTAAATAAGGAAGTTGGTCAGCGCATCGTTCGCGAGGGTCACATTAATCTGGCGCTGTTCGCTATTTTCTAATTGGCCGTCCGGTGATTTTTTTGAGCCAAATCCTGTTGAAGCTCAATCGCTTTACATTGCTGATAACGATCAGCATGGTGTTTTTGGCGCCAACCTAAGAATGTGTGATTTTTGCCGTAACAATAAGTTCACGCTGCGCGATGGACGTCACATCAGGAACGAAATTGGCTAGCACAAATACAGTCCTGTAATAATCCACAGAGAATTTTCAATGGGAGTTGTTGCGCTTGCCTGGCAATTAGTGGACTCATGCGAGCCAAAATGAACTGTCAGTGCCATAAAATGAACTACTAATGAACCGTATAGCAAAGAGCAAAGAAAACCCGTACAGGCTTCAGCGAAGCTCGTATATTTTTTAAAGTAGCCAAAGAAAAAAAGCAGTACAGAGTGAGGACCTCCCCTTTCAATCTCCATTGCGTACTACTCATAAAACAGTTGAGAACTGATAGGATGTATTTGCAATGTTCGTCACTTACAAGGGAGGTCTTTCAGGGCAAGCCACGCTTTTCAAAACGGTTTCTTGCATATTGTAGGGACGCATGTAGGGAACACAAAGCCATGTTTCATTTTCGCTGAACGGTTTTAGCAGTACCCAAAAAAGAAGCATAACGTACTGTTTATGGTTCGATCCCCGTGGGACTAAATTTTGTGTTGGCGCCTGCGGCGTGGTGCCGAATCGCAGCAAATGTCGCACTTAATGCACAGATCTTGTACGGTATATATGTGTATATATGCGTCTTTTGAGTCGAGAATCCAGCCAGCAACCTGAATGTCGCAGCCCGAAAACTCATAGCTGATAAGGTGCTGTTTTGACTTACTTGAATCTCAACATTTAAGAATGTAGTGGTAGTAATGGTGAGGCGATCAGGAGCAAAGCTGTCAGCCACTGAAGAGTACTCCGTTGGCGTCCAGCTATCGACGGGCCGCTTGAGATTCACCAGTGTATGCTAGTGTATCTCTGATCATCCCCACAGGCCACCCACTGTACTTGATGCGGAGGTTGGCGTTCCATTGGATGCATTCAAAATGACCCTCGTGCAATTGCGTGCCGAACTACTGCCGGCGCCAACTACAACGGTTTACTTGTGACTCAGCCGAAAATCGCAAACTGGCCGTCGAGAAGAACTCTTTTTGAAAATCGTTTCCATTCCAGATCGAGGTGGACATGCCGATCACATCGATAGCTCCAATACCGGAATCACATTCGGCGGAAGAACTTGTTGATAGTTGCTGAAGACGTAATTATGGCTTGCAGAATTTGTTTTCATTGTTTTTATTATCACCACCATCGACTATCAAAAGAGAAAATTTCACAGAAAGATGATAGCATTACTTTTCGTCCCTGTACAGTGGCATACTACTTCGGGTGCCCGTTTCTCAGAACTCTTTACGAGGACGAGTTCTGGCTCAAAAAATGTGGACTAATTCTGATTTGAGGTGTATGGTGCTTGAGTCTTCTGCGAACACTCTATGGTACCTGGTAATGTAGCGGGGTATGCAAATTAGTGCCGAGTGGACACATTGAGATTTGTCTTTTAGTGCCAAAAATTTGAAAATACGATTTTCTCAGATATCACTTACGAAAATTGAAACTGGTAAAATGCACTTGATATTCTCGCTTTTAGGCAGAACACTTTTTTGCAGAAACTTCCCAAATTTTGTATTTCTATGAGATTTAGGAAACTTTCGACATTGCTTTTTATGCTCCTTATGCAGACTGCTAACCAGAGACAGATCTGAAGCCCAGATGGGTTCGCAGAGTTTCGTGCCCCTTCAAGGAATAGTTAGGTGACATCGTCGCTCCATTTCTATTGGAGCGACAATTTTCCTGTGAAATATGATATCTAAAGCAGATTTCTATTCGAAGAGGTTCATTCCTGATCTTCATACATTGCTTCTAAGATAATTGCCAGTATCGGTAGAGTCTTTAAACTCTGAACTAAAAACTCGCAGTCGTCCCTGTTAGGCAAAAAATCAGGTCTCATCGCCAACACCTACTGGAAAATGCGGAGGCTAATCAAGAAGCGTGAAGAAGTTAGGTAAAAATTATCCCCTTACTGCGTACCCTGTCTCTCAAGCATTTTCCCATGTTGAAGCAAATTTCGACGTGCCCACTCAGCATTCCCTCAGTTTCATATGCAATTTAATTATTTGTGCAAAATTGTTCGAATATACTGTATCGACTTGCATTTTATTTTTCCCAAATGTTAAGTTGATCAATGCTTTTGATATGTCTGTGATCTGTTCCTTAAAGACAGTGGGATACTGTCGAGATGATTAAAAAAAACTGTGTCATCTCATTCGAACATACTCTGTTGTCTCCTCTGGGTGAATCTTTCGACAGACTTGAACTCGCACCTCTTTCCTCTTATCGCTCATTCCCCAGAAATTTTTGAAGAAATCATGACGCCTCTTCCTCACTATGTGTTATATTGTTGTATTATTCTCACTATTAAATTTGTTTTCTTTAGATTGCTATTCATCAGCATTTTCGGTGTCTTTTATGAAATAGTTGTAGTATCGTTTTTAATTTCACCTTATTGTTACTTATGTATATGTAGATTATCGTGTAATAATAATGGTCCCCGTGAGTGAGCATTTACCGGTAGGCGTGTCCCACTACTGTTGTTTATCCGAGCTCATCCCATCTGTCTGGCGCTTTTGAGATGTTTATTGATTGTGTGATTTGGCACTACTATGTAGGAACCACTCTCTTCAATGAATGAAGAATTTCGCTAAGTGTGGTGTTGTATACACAGCAAGTGTTGTGTCAGGTCGAGCAATGCGTCGAGGAAAATTTTGAAGTACGACCTCCCCCCCCTTTCCCCAAACGGCGAAGTACTTGATGCGACTCTCCTCACAAGGCGAAGTATGAAAAAGTTTTTAAACCGTCTCGAAAACCTTCATCGAGAAGAAACCGGCTACCTCACCCTTCACCATAAACGTCATTCAACAAGCAAAAAGTTCGAACAAAAATCCTTAAAGCAACAGTTCAAGAACGAATTCGCGGGCAAAAACCACCGATAATGAAGTTGTGGGTGCAAAGTTGACCAATAATGAAAGAAAAGTTCAAAAAGACGTCGAACAGGGAATTAGACAGGGGCTCCTCCCTCGCCACTTAGCAATGGAGGAAGACGCTCGTTGGACGAGTTGTATGAACATGCCCGCAGTAAATGCGCCCCAATTGCAATAGCTGGCTACTTGCTAGTAGCCAGCTATTGCAATTGGGGCGCAATAATGGGATCGTTTCATGTTTTGAAGGTAGAAGGTAGAAGGAAAAAATGTAGAAATTCAGCGTTGTCGGCATCACTACATCGATTGCTTTAAAGGATCGACCTCAAATGGTCCCGGCGGTCCCGCAACGACCGCCAATCAACTACGCGCTCTTCACAGCAGCAAGGGGGCGGCTCCACCGAGGCTCGGTAGACCCGCCCTTTTCGAAGAAATTCGAGCCCTTCCTACGCATTTCAAAGGTAAGTTTTCAATTCAGTGACAGTTCCTTCGAAACTTACTTGGGCTGGGGCATGCTTCCACACCTCAGGCTTTGGATTGGTTGAAACCCTCCTTGGACTGTTGCTTTAACAGTTGAGTCCTACCAACAAATGGAACAAAAAGCGACGAACTAGAGAATAGCATACTATAACAGCATCTCTTTTTTTATTTCCTTTGGAAGGCTTATCAAGTCTAGGTCTATCCAGAGTATGCTCTCTATCTACACGTCCACCATTTGGTTGACAGAAGCTATGCGGTGATTAAAGTTAAAGTAGGCGAAACGATTACATATACAGTAGCGGTCAAAAGTTTGGAAACTTTTTTATTTTTGATCTAGCGCGGCCGATACACAACGAAATTGTCCCAAATTTAGATATTCCATACAAAATCGAGTTCAGAATACGACGGGAAGAACAATTTCCAAAAACCTATAATCATATTTGAGAAATAAGATTTTTTCAAGTAATGGCGCGTCAAAAGTTTGGAAACTTTTTGTTTCCCTTATCAGTATGATTCCTACTCTTCAATGTTCACTTGTTTCTGTTAATTTTAGTTAAACTATTGAGCAATGTGTAATTTCAAAATGAATTCATATGCAAAGGAAGCAGTTTTTCCATGGGAAGTCCTTTCTTGAACCCTACAATACGGAATACGAAATTGAAATGGTTTCTTAGTAGTTCAATCTCTAACGGAAGCAATAGCATCGAATGTTTCTGGCTTTGTTGGAGTCGAGCAAGCATAAGAAGAATGATCATTCACAAAAAAGTATCCTCACAAGAAAATTGGCCCTCCTCAAATACTTCGGAGGGTGGTTGGCACGTCCCGTACCCCCGACATTCCCAAGTGAGAGACAACTTTTTCCAGTTTTCCTCTAATCATATTGAAGTCCAAGTGTAGCACAACATCGGCCGCGACCTGATGAATATTACGGATGGTATCCCAGCAAGTAGCCATTGTTGGGCTTCAAGAGCAGGATGGCCCAACTGGCTTCCGCACTCTAACGGCTAACATGAACCGGAGCCAAGAGGTGAAACTTTGTCCTCAGCGACGAATGAGATTTCTATCTTCCTAGAAATAATATGTGGACCCTGTGAAGTGTTTTGTCAAATGGGAACCTCATTTTGAGTATGAGATTCCAACAGTCAGAAATAGTGGAAGTACTGTCATGGATGAACATGTGTCCGACCATTCGGCGATTCCACAGTTCTAGGTATCCAGCGAAATGTGGGTTGGGCTAAGTACAAGTATAGTCTGTTGAATACAATGCTCACCTTAGATAGTCAGAACTAGCCGGAAAAGATGGGTTTTCTATTACGGAAATAACCCGATGCAGGCCTACCTCCCCACTGCCGCCTTCCTCAACCCAGAAAAAGGAGCTGCTATGAAGCGACCAAGTCAAGATCTGAAGTCTAATTGAGTTCTACATCTCACGGAAAAAGTGGCATGTCGCTCTACCCACGTTCCAGTTAAGAATCCCACCAAACAATGTGCTTTAGTTCACAGTGTATGAGGTCCGACTTAAAAATCCTAAAATTATTTTATAATCAATACCATGTCAATAAAAACGACGCTAAGATAGAAATTTAAAGCTGCTCATCAAATAATTAATTTATCATGCGGATTTGAGAGCTATTTTGCCGAATTCGCTTTAGAATTCGGAAGTTTGACGCGCCATTTCCTATAAAAATTCGTATTTTTCAAATGCGATTTCAGTTTTCAAAAAATCATGTTACCCATCGTAATCTACACTAGATTCTGAATATAATATGTGAATTCGGGCAATTTCATTGTCTATTGGCTACGCTAGATCAAAAATAAAAAAGTTTCCAAACTTTTGACCGCTACTGTATGTTTTCATTGAATCAATCACGTTAAAAGTAGTTTTGAAACCATTAAAGCGAAAGTAGGTAAAATTTGCTTTCCCGTAGCCATAACGCGCTGTTTTGGCCGAACTTTCATTACTGTAACTCCAGATAAATTGAACTACACTGAACAATATGGAAAACATTATTTAATGCCGACAGACGAAAATGAAGAGCATCGTAGAACCACGGGATATAACGCCTTGTTCAAATTAATATAAGTCCACAACAAAACGTTTTGGCGCATTATTTTATGTTCTGTTTACATGCACACAAATATTCGAGAGGGGCTGAACAGGTGCGTCGGCGAGGGTCGCAGAAATCGAAGGGCGTAGCTAAGGCTTAGAGTATAAACCCGGGAGCATATGTCCAACGAATGAAACGCCAGGGTAATAGCTAGCCACAATATTTCAAGCGCTGCAGAGGCGGACTATGTTACACCGAAAAGTTTGAGGTGTCTCCTTCAAGGCAACATAACAGACTGGGAAAGGTTTTCTCAAAAGGGAAGACTGAAGTCTAGAGACATGCATCTCAGGAGAAGTAATGTTACAAGTCAATTACAAAAGAATCGCTACAGGAGGTCACGTATTATAATAAGCACAGTCACAAGGCAAGGAAATCAAGAGATTAATGTCTAGGAGGAAGAAGACAGCTACTGAAATAGTAGGCGTTATTGCTGGGCAAAGACATATCAAGATCACTAGACCACCCAGTTTCGGTAGTGCCCTAAGCCCTTACCTGACACCCCGGGTCTTTCCTTGTGAGAGAGCGGGCAACGCAGGACCGCGATAAGTGATCACTTGACGCAAGGAGACTACGGAATGTGGTTACAGGTATCGCAAACAAGAACGTTCTGACGGTGGTAAATGTTGGAAGAACG